ATCCACTAACCATCGATACCCACTAACCATTCATCCTGGAAACCCTTGTGCTTCATTTGAATCCAAAGATTATTTCATAACGTCTATTACCCATGAGTCATTGCAGTTTTCTTTCAATCACCTACCAATGCATTCCTCAATTATTTTTTATTGATCATCATTTGAAGTTCATAAAACATTCAATATTTGATCTAAAATATACTTATTCTACATGTAAGCCATAAATGAGTTTTAAAAGCAAGTGACACTATAGGCATTATCAAAAATAGTGACCATAGACTGTATACTATTTGTTGTAAATCACAACGACAGAGGAATGAAGCAAGGCTGAGATGTCATGATCTTTAAGGCAAGCTGACATTAATAGCCATTGGTATCACTGCATAGGTGAAATAGTAGGCAGTATATTTTGATTGTTGCTGTGAAGGTACATATCTGACAAACTATGTGACTAGAAAACAATTCTTGCACTCAATTTGAGACCGACGGTCAGGGATTATTCACATGAACAAATAATACAGTTTTCATCCCTTTGAATACCAAAGTCAATCTTCATATTTTACAATGTCAGTTAGTTATGCTAGAATCTTGGTTCCAACAACTTCTCAAAAAAATGGAGAAATTGTATTTTTAGGATTTTTTCAGCAAAAATGTAATTGTACTGTGATAATATTTGTCAAATTGTAATTTTTGTGCTTATGTTCATAGTTATCGTAGTTGTCAATCAGTTTTTATATTTGGTTGCCCAAATGACAAAAGTGGTTGTCCAAGACAGTCACCAATTTTGATCACTGCTAAGACACCATGCATTGCTCGTTTGCCGACTCAGCAATAGATTTTAAACTAACTCTCCTAGTAACATACTTAGTCTTCCAAAAACATAATATTCTTTATATTATTACTTGTATGAAACTTTACTACTTATGATTTGCAGGTTCCATATGGACGCAAGTCTGGTTGTGATATCTATTGGCATTCAGCATATTTCCATGATTCAGATGAACCTGGATTATATAATGCCAAAGTTAATAAATTCCCAGGTAAGAATATATTTTAAAAAAAGTTGGAGGTCAATTTGATTTTTGAAATCAATGTGAGCATATATTTTATTTATTAATCTGAAAAATGAGATTTTAACTGATATGCAAATTAACATGTATATGTTTTTCTGGGTCTTACTATATACA